AAGAAAGAAAGAAAGAAAGAAAGAAAGAAAGAAAGAAAGAAAGAAAGAAAGAAAGAAAGAAAGAAAGAAAGAAAAGAAGATTTTGCTTTATGAAAGTTTTAAATGGATTTGGAAAACTCACACACGCACACACACTCACAAAACACACAATATATTCATGGGAGGAATTGTGACTTGACAAAGGTTGCAAATGGACACTAGAGGGAACCAAAGGACCAGCCCAAAAAGTGTTAAAAAGTTAAAATGGCTGTAACTTTTTCTTATCTTAAAAATATTTTTATACAGGCTGAAATATTAAAAATTAATGTCTCAGAAAGTTACATATTTCAATGGATAAACTTTTAGACGACAATGAGAAAATTTTTAAAAACCTGTACTTGACATAGACATTATTGAATTGAAGGCATGCAAGAAAACAACATTGGGGCTACCAAAATGGGAGTACAAAAGACAAATAAAAAACAAGACCTGGACATGAAACTCTGTGCAGAAAATTCTGGATGATTCCTCTATGAGAACAAGAGGATCTGGATGTGGAACAACTCTGTCAAGAAATCCTGGATGATGTTTCTTTACAGAATTTACAAAGTAGGGTCATGAAAGCTTTGAAAGTCTGCTATTAAGTATCAAAGAGTGATAAAATATCTAATCTAAGGAAAGATTCAAGATTGTGCAAAGCAAAAAGGAGTATAAAGTTGGACTATTTGACCAGGGATAAATCATTTGTTTGATATTTCTGATAACTTCTAATGGACTTTCTGTTAAACCAGGATTGAAAAAATGAGGGTTCTAATTGTGTACAGATAATAGTTAGCTATGGGAAGATTTTTTTTAAAATTTGTAACATTAAAAGGTGGTGAAAAGTTACTGTATTAGCTTATATTTGGTGTGGTGAAGGTTAGATGCAAGGTGATTCATGTTCCATTTAAACATATGCTTGTACACAGTCCGATAATTGTTGCATTTTGGGAAGAAGTTACTGCATGTATTCATTTTGAGACAAATATACTATTTTTATATTAATAATGTTCATAGTCGTTTGAAATTCTTTTAATAATGTCACATTCTTATCACATAGAAATTCACATCTAATCAAAAAAGTAGATTCTTTGTTCTTTCAGTATTGGAAAGGTTGGCCTCCACTACTCTGTTGTCTGCAGAGTTGTCGCTATTGCTAAATCACAAATTATTTGTCAGGGTTCCAAGCAATACTCCCATAATAAATACAACTTCACAGCAGGCAGATTCCTTAAAAAAAAAAAAAATCAGTTTTATTGGAAATACCATATTGGTAGAGGCTGCTAAAAATGTCTGAATATTCCCGCAGTTTTCACCAAGTTAAAAGTAAACATTTTTCTCCTTCTCCAAACAATCAGTCACGTGGTCCAATCATTGCGCTGTCCAGTTGCCTGGTAATGTCACTCTGCCTCTCTCCATCCACCTTTGGGAATGTCCTTTGTTCCCAAGAGAAAGTATTTTGCTTTGGCTACAAACCCCCTCTATCTCTACTCCCCCCTCCCTAATCCTAAGCTCCAGTGTGTCAATGCTGAAGTTAGACAATGGCCTTGCTCAGGCCAACTTCAGAGTTGACATTATTCACTACTCACCGTAAATTATCAATGGATGGTATTAATAAAATATGGGTCCCATTCATTGAAATGATTTTATAAAACTTATGCAATCAAGAATGAGTTTCCCAGTTAATTATCCAGTCTAGCTAAAGTCAAGTACTTTTTGAATAATAATCTTTTTTATTTTACTTTCCCTTCCTTTCTCTTTTTTTCCCCTTCTTCGTTTTGCTAGGTTATATTCAATCTTTGTCAATCTTTGTCTCCTTGATTCCTATTTCTCCAATGACAGTTTTTCAAAAATTACAAGTTCATTGGCAAATTATAGACATGAGATACCAGCTAAGGGACAAGAACAGAGGTTCAAGAGATTTGGAATATGATATTCATTCTATCCTGAACCTTTAAAAAAAAAAAATTATTTGGTGGCCTAGATTTCAATAACCTCTGCTTTTTAGCTATCCTGTATATGGGCCAATGGGATAATTAGGAAGCAGTCTTTTAAATTCTTTCTCCTGGGGCGATTTATGCCTGCATCCAGGCCCCTTGAAATGAACCTATATTCTTGTCTTTATTTTTTCTTTTTATATCTTTGATTCTGTTTCTTTCTCTGCAAGTTTATGTTACACTGAAATACATCCACAGTATATTAAAAAACCTTTTCTTTCCAGTGTCCTTTTTCTCCCTCAAAATTCTTCCCCCATTTTCAGCCTCAGGCAAATCCTTCTCTTTCTTCTCGAGGATCCAAGGCAGACTAATGCAAACAAAAGCTCAAATCTGCAGTTACTTGAACCTTGTAACATTTTTCTTCCAATTTGAAATTTAATTACTAATTTGTCCCCTGCTAGAATCATTGGAGTTTTATTATTCTAATAATATTTTTCTATTCCTCATCGAATAATGAAATAATTATTTGGGGACTCTGTGCTTTATGTGTATCCATAAAAACTCTTAATTGAAAGAGAATATTGGACATGTTGTAACTAGGTTTAATTTATAGTTACTGGATGATAGTATAACATTTGAACCATGCTTCTGTCCTTATCAGATATCAGAGTTATGCTGTGTTATTAAAACGTCACAGTTGTGAGTTTTTGATTGTTCATGTGCAAGTGGAAGATCATCTTGAAGAGTTTAGAATGAGAGAGGGAGGGAGGCAGATAGGGAGGGAAAGAGAGGGAGGGAGAGAGAGAGAGGGGGATTTCTTTTGATTATTTGATGATGGCATTTCCAATTTGCAATCCAATTAAAATAAAACTGGGAGTGGGGGTTCATACATCATTATACTGTAACACAAGTATGTCCTCCAGGAATTACAAGCTCTGGCACTGTGCTCAGATGCATTCCTGCATGGCAAAAATGAAAGCTACTTATAAATCAAGGTGTTAGTTTCATACTGCATATATTTGCTGTGAAAAACTCTGTTAGAATGTATAAGGTTGCCCTCAGACTTATCATTCAGACAATCCTACACAGGCATGAAGCATATTAATGGCCCATAAATAAATTCAGAGCCATGAATTCTGTGAAGCAACAGCAACGCACAAAAGGATCTTCTCATCTTCACTTCCTGCCAATTTAAACTTCCATAGTTAAGAAATGAGTTCTACTGGTTGTTTGATTTACAGGGCGCAGGGCAGTAATAATGAAAAGTTAATTTCTTTAAGTAGTTCTCATTCCCTCCCCTTTCCTTGGCATCTCTGTGCCTTGCTGTCCAATTTTCTGGTACTGTAAACTGGAATTGAAATCAACAGCAGCCAATTTCTGAATACAGCTAGAACAAGGCAGTGTATCTATTTGTAAAGTTGGGCCTAGGATTGCTTCAATATGAAATCAAGGTGTTCGGTGAAATTATTGGCTGAATAGCTTAAATCAATATATGAAACACCATACTTTACAGCTTATTTTCATTGCCCCTATCAGACTGTCACACAGTGCTGCTGCAATGAAGAAGCCATAACTTGAAGAATTTTGAGAAATATGAATCAAACCTACAGAGGTGTTCCTGAAAGGATGAAACAAGCATTATCCTTTTGTACATATGTGTGATACCATAATGCTGTGATGGCGAACCTATGGCACGTGTGCCGGAAGTGGCATTCAGAGCCATTTCTGCCAGCACACAAGAAGTCGCCTGGAAGAGAGCCACTGCACATGTGTGTGTGCTGTCTGCCTAACATCTGATTGTCAGGTATATGGCGCATATGCGTTGGATGCGGGGTGTGTGGAAAATGCGTGCATATGTGCAGAGATGCACGGGGCATGTGAGGGTCTCATGGCATGCGCAGAAATGCATAGCATGTGGGGGGATCGTGTGCGCATGCACAGAGATGTGTGGCGCATGTGGGGGGTTGCACGTGCATGGACAGGGAGCATGGGGGCCCTGCGCGCATTGCCTTCTGGGTGCTGACATGTGAGCATGCATGCACAAGGGCACATACAATTTTCTGCATTGGAGCCCAAAAAGGTTAGCCACCGCTGCAAAAATGCATTACAAAATGAATGGAGTTTGCAGCATGGCAGTGTGACTTTGCTTTATTTGGTGACATTTCTGCCTGCTATCTTGAAGCCTTCCTGAAATTTGGCAAGCCCATTCAATTTTCTATAGCCCACAGGCTACTTCTGGATGTTGCTAGAACTACTATCGCTTTACAATTCTTGTCATCTGTTTTCAGCTTTCTCATTTTCTTGCAATTGGGATTTCAAACAACCCTATCTGGTATATTGTATCACTCTTCAATTTTTATATTTCCTTTGATTTTTTTAAAATATAAGCTTGCAATCTTTCCATTGAGCAGTGAAACTCAGGTAAAGGGAGATGGAGTGAAATTAATAGATGGGGTCTATTTTTGCTTTTAGCCCCCACTGACAGTTCAAGCGAGAGCAAGAGGGCACTGGGTGAAGTGGAAGGGAATGTCCGTTGTGCTTTTTGAGTTAGATCAGCCATGCTTGTGGCCTATCAATTGGGCAATGTTAGGTTTGTGTTCAGAAGTCTAATGGCAGATCACAATTTTGCATCTATTTTTCACCCAAACTATTTGACAGTTCATAGCTGTATAGTTAATTCCTGCCTATATTCATGTAATCATTCAGGAGAGAAATTGGGATCTCTTTTGTCCACTGCTGATTTGTGCTGGCCCTCTGAATCTTCAAAAAAATGGCATTGTTGAAGACCAAGCCCAAAGGACTTAACACCTGGATATTTCGCTTTAATCTAATATGGCCTGACTGTTCTTAATATCTGACATATTTTAGTTGTGAGAAATAAATTTTTGATGGGAATATCTGGAAGGTTTACTCAGTGACTGGACCCGAATTCTTGAGTTCCCTCCCTTAAGGAGATCACAGTGGTGTCCTTGTGCTGGTGTTTCACAAAAAGATTAGATTACAGATTAACAGAATTGGAATAGAACTTGTAGGTCATCTAATCCAATCCCACACCCAAGCAGACCCTACACCATTTTTGACAGATGGCACTTCAGTCTCTTCTTGAAAGCTTCCAGTGATGAAGTTCCCACAACTTCTGAATGCAAGCTGTTCCATTAGTTGATTGCTCTCACTGTCAGAAAATTTCTCCTTATTTCCAGGTTGAACTTCTCCTTGTTCAATTTACATCCATTATTCCTTGACTGGCCTTCAGGTGTCTTTGAAAACAGCTTGATCCCTTCCTCTCTGTGGCAGCCCTTCAAATATTGAAATACTGCTATCATGTCTCCCCTGGTCCTCCTCTTCACTAGGCTAGCCATTTCTAGTTCCTGCAACCATTCATTGTATGTTTTAGCCTCCAGTCCCCTAATCATCCTGGTTACTTTCTATGCACTCTTTCCAGAGTCTCAACGTCCTTTTTATAGTGTGGTGACCAAAACTGGATGCAGTACTTTAAGTGTCTAGATCTTCTTAAGATGGTTTCTCTCCACATATTATGCAGATTTTATAAGATGCTGTTTTCTCTCCTTTACTAATGCTCTAAGTTATGTAACTTAGAACATCAGGGTGAAAAATGTTATACAGTTACAATAAAAATACTGAATATATTACCTTGAAAAAGACAGGTTGAAACTATCATAAATAAAACAGTTGTGTTTATGTCATCATATTAAGTTGCATGTTGTTGAACCACATCACATGAGACAGCTAGTATGAGACAGCTATATTACTCGGAAGAGTTTAAAAGTAGCATCATTTCACTGACATATCTTTTAGGTTGTTCTACAGAACTAGCGTGACTCGTGGGATCTGTTTTTAGCTTTAACATATGTCTATTCTCTTCTGTGGTCCTTGTCTTTCATTATTTGTAGGTTTTCCCCCCGCTCCTATATCACTAGCATTCAGTATTGCTGTGGATGAAGAAATGATACTTTAGCTCTAGTGCAGACATTCACACAAATGTGTGACAAATTGCAATGACAGGGTTTCTTGCTTGCCAAGCTTGAGATAGAATAAGAGAAATGTTGACTAGACAGGGCCCAAGGATATTTTTAGAAGAGTGCTGCTTACATATCTTGAAAAGTACTTCCTAAGCATCTTAATTTCTCTCCTTTTCTGTTTGCTTTCACCAATGTACTCTGGTATATATAAAAATAAAGTAAAAGTCATGTTATACAAAAGCCATATAAACATTTTCTTTCTAAGGGTTTATATTACAGTAAAAGCATTTTACAGTAAGTTATTTCTACATTCACATGTGCATTTCTACACACACACACACACACACACACACACACACACACACATATACAAACTGAATATCTACATACAGGTACTCCTTGAGTTATGATGGTAAGTTTGACATATGACTGCATCACTTATGATGGCAATCCTGGCAGTTCTAGTTGCTATTGTAACTATAGGATCATGCAGGCCATTATGTGGGAAAAGGCTGAAGTCCCAGGCAAAGAGTGCATGTGGGGGTACATGGGTATAAAGGCCAGGTAAGTTCTATGGAGTGCAGGCAGGGTGGTGAGGACTATGGATGGAGTCTGGAGAGCATGGGCAGACCAGTGATGTTCACATGTGGGCCTTGGAGAGTGTGGGTTGACTGGCAAAAGGTTGAGTAGACTCTGAACATAAATGGGCCAGCAGGGGCTTGAGTTGTGTTTCAGACTGTAGGTAGCTAGGCAGGTGGATGCTGCAACTGGGCATGCATTGCAAATTGTGAGCAGGCAGAGGGTTCTGTAGGTAAGCATGTGCTATGGAGTGTGGATAAGCAGTGGGGGAATGCTACAAAGTATGAGATCTCTGAGATCATCTTTCACAATGGGGTTCCTTGAGAGAAAAAGTGGCAGGAGAAACTTACAGGAATAACTTAATGTCTATCTCCATCATAACAGGCACGGTAAAGTAGACAATCATGGCATTACATTTCACTAACATAAACATACTCATACAGTAAATATGAAATAATAATCATACTGTAAGAAAACCAAATTAATGACAACTGGTACAATAACCAGTCTTAGATTTGACAATGAAGCTATTGAAGATAGTTAGATAGGTAGATAGTTCCTGTCTTTTAGGATCAACCATTAAGAGTAAAAAAGCAAGCAGTCAAGAAATATGCCAGAGTCATTCTTAATAGAATATACAGCACATGAAAGTGCATGTGCTTCATGAAACTTGTCATGGCATGCTCTTTTAGCACTATTTTACCATTGATGTGCCAATGTTCTCTTTGACGACAGGTATTACATTATTTAATATCTGTTTGAGCTTATCCTCAATGATCTTTGAAACAGAAAAAGTAGCATGGCAAGCCGTTGATGGAGCTCTAATCCAGTTAAGCTTCCTGAACCAATCGAATGCTGGGTTTCACAACAGTTATTTATCTATTTGCTATAATAAATTAAAGCTTATGCATCCAATGTCCCTATGACATTCTGAAAATTTCTCCTTTAAATCTGGATTGAACTGGGATGTTAGAATCTCTGCCACAATGACAGAACATTTCATTTTGACTTGTTATTTTCAAGCTTATCTACATTTGCTTTTACTCCTGACTGTAGCTCTACATCATCTGTACTGTAGTAGCAGTTTCCCTGAAGATAGTAATTTCAAATACTGTCTTGTTAAAGCTATCCATTAAGAGGTTTTAAAAATATTTTCTTTCAGAATTCAGAATTCTTTCAGTCTAGTTGATTAATATTTTAATGGATCATTTAGCCATTCACAAAATTTGCAATATGCATTTTTGTATTG